GCTCCCCGCCTCCCGCAGCAGCTTCCCGGCGACAGACGGACAGTCCCGCCCTGCGGCCGCGCCGCGCCGGGACCGGTCGTGAGCGCTCCGGTGCGGGCCCTTACCGCGCTCCCGGGCCGCCCGGAGGCCCGGAAGAGCCCGTCAGTCCTCCCCACTCGCGCTCTATGGGCCGCCAGTCCTCCGGAAGTGCCCGTCAGTCCTCCGAACTCTCGCTTGCAGGGAGAGTTGCCAGAAAACCTCGCCGCGGCCGGGGCTCCGCAGCCACTGCGGGTCTGGACGTTGGTAACGTGTGCGGGTGGTGATTGGATCTTTCTTAATCGCTGTTCTCCCCATTGTGTAGTAATGATCTGTCCTTCTCGCTGTTGCTCTTGTTGGTTCCAGGCCAGCATCCCACTCCCTGTCTCTCTCTTCCGCAGTCCTCTCCTGCTCTCTGGCTCCCTGCTGCTCATCTCTCTTCTGGATGCCTCTGTGCTGCCTCCTCTCTTTCCTGATAACTCTGGCCTGCTCCCCATCACTGGCTTGGCGCTCTTTCCCACCTATCTGCCTGCGTCCTGTCCCTCACCTCATCTCTTGGTTGCTACTGATTCTGTCTCCATCAGTGCGCTGCTACCCGTCCCTTTTCTCCTCTCTGTCCTCTGTTCTCTCGTGAACGTTTTGCCTGTCGAGCTCCACACCCTCTCTCTGATGTTCTTTCCCGGTATAACCCTGTGCCCAGCTCCCTGTGCCATTCTGTCCTGCTGCATGGCCTTTTCCATTTCATCTCGTAGCCCCTCCTGTCCCACTCCATCTCTCCCTCTCTCATCCCCTCAATCCCTCTGCCTTCTTGACCATCTCTTGCTCTCCCTCCTTCCCACCTTCCTTTCACCCCACATTTAATTTCTCTCTCTCTCTCTGTCTTTCCACTCATCTTTATCTCTCTTCCTCCCTGACCCTGTTTATTTTCCAGCATGCACCTGCAGGACTTCTCCTTGGTTTTCTAGTGATTTCTCCATCCCTAATTCCTCCACGGCCTCTCACTCCTTTTTGGCTTCCCAGCCCCTTTCAAACTCTAATGCCCATCAGAACTCACACCTTTCAGCATCTACATTTTTCTGGCCTGTGATTGCCCTGTGGCCTCCCAACACATTTTGGGGCCCTCGGAAATACTGCCCCCAAAAGAGTCTCTCGAAATAGTCCCTCCTGTAACACTCCCCCCCCTTTGAAATAGCAGCCCCCCCCCGAAAGAGTGTGGTCTGTAACACAACCCTGTCCCCATCTTGTAGATCCTCCCTCTCTCTGCCCTGTACCCTACCACTATTGTTGCCTTTCTCCATCCTTCTCTGTCCAGCTCCCTGTCCCTATTGATTAATTCCTCTCTCATCTTCTTGCACCTGCTGCTATTCCCTGCGATCTTCATCTCTCTTTCCTGCTCCCTGTCCCCAGTTTTTCATTTCTACCTTGCCCCTCATAGCCTGTCTGGACTTTTTCCTCGGTGTATTCCTCTCTGGCCAGCTCCCTTTTGCTATTTTTTATTTCCTCCCTGTCCATCTTGTTACACATACCTATTTTTTTCTTCTCTCTCCATGTGTCTCTGTGTCTTTCAGTCACTGTTCTTTAATTCCTCCCTCTTCCCTGTACCTTGCTGCTATTTTTCTCATTCTTCATCATGCTCTGTCTGGTGCTCTGTACCTATTTATTAATGACTCCCTCTTTGCTCAGCAGTCTGTCTCTTTTCCCCATTTAATTTTTGCCTCTGTCTGGCTCCTTGTCCCTGGTTTGTGAATTCCTTCCTCTGTGCCCCACACCCCATGTGATCTTTTCTCTTCTGTGGCCTGTTTCTGGCTGGTGCTCTGTTACTATTCAGTAATTCCTCTCCTGATGCCTCGTAGTCTGTCACTTTTGTCTTTTTTCCATCTCACTGTCTCTTGTTTCCCCTGTTTTAGAATTCCCCCCCTCTTCTTTGTGTATGCATCAGGATTAGTTTTTGGCTCCAGGTCTCTTCCTTTATGTGTCGCCGTCCCCGTTTCCTAATTCTTCCTTCTCTGCCCTGTCACTTGTAGCTGTGATTTGTTTTGTGTTCCTCCCCTGCCCTTTCCCTCTGTCGTTTGCTGTCCTGACTCCCCATCGCTGTTACTTTTTACTGTTCTTTGTAGCTTGTCTTTCTCCATCTTTCTGGGTCAAGTTCCCTGCCCCCTTTTCTTTTTTTCTTCATGTCTGTTGTGCTGGCCATACCAGGTGTTTTTTCTGCATCTCTATGCTGCCAACTTTAATCTCCAGAACACTCACGTTGTTCTCTATGCTAGCTAGGATGCCTGTTTAGTTCCCGATCCCCCGAGGACATCTGTAATGTGTTTAGATCCCTTCTGGATGAACAGATCATGTCCTTGAAAATTATTTGGGTCGTGCTGCTTGTCAGAAACCCTCCGATAACGTCACAACACTTCCCGAGGTCTCAGGTATTCACGGCAGCATGCTGTTAGGGTTAGGGGTTAGGGTTGGTTTAGGGCTTTAGGGTTAGGTTTAGGGTGAAAGTAGGGTTAGGGCCTAGGTTTAAGTTTAGGGTTAGGGTTAGTTTTAGGTTGCGGTTAGGGTAAGGGTTAGGGCTTAGGGTTAGGTTTAGGCTAAGGTTTAGGGTTACGGTGAAATTAGGGTTAGTATTAGGGTCTAGGTTTAGGGGTAGGGTTAGGGTTAGGCTAAGGTTTAGGTTTAGGGTGAAAGTAGTGTTAGGGTTAGGGCCCAGGTTTAGGGTTAGGGTTAGTGTTAGGTTGCAATTAGGGTTAGGGCCTAGGGATAGGGCCTAGGGTTAGGGTGAAATTAGTGTTAGGGTTGGGGTCTAGTTTTAGGTTTAGGGTTATGGTTAGGGTGCAATTAGGGTTAGGTTAGAGTTAGGGCCTAGGGTTAAGGTTAGGTTTAGGTTTAGGCTAAGGT